TCAGGGAGCGGCCCACGGAGGCCGAGCGCTTCGCCATCAGCATCAAGTGAGTGGGGCCCTGGGGGTCAAGGAGCCCCTTCTCCAGTGCAGGCCGAGGAGCCCACCGCCCCCCACGTCCTGGGCTTGTTGTTTCGGGGTGGGGTGTGGACGAGTCATCGGCTGCCCGAGGGAGGGCGTGGAGATACGCTGAGCCTGGAGGCTCCTCGGGTGCACTGCGAGGGCACCAGCGACCCAGTTGCCCCCGGGCTGGGAGGCCGCGTCAGGTCGCAGGCAGCAGGCGACTCGGGGGCAGGTGAGCAGTGACGCCAAGGGCCAGGGCCTTCCCTGCAGCCCCGCAGGTGTATCTCTGAGAGAGTGAGGCTGTCCTGTAGCTCTGGGGTAGCCGGCCTGCGGCTGCTGCTCCACTCCCAGAGGTCTGGGCCCCACCCTGCCCCTGTCCCTGGATCCCGCCTCCCGGGGCTGCAGCGAACCCCTCCAGGGGTAGGCATGGTGGGCAGTTCACCCCACCAGTGCTGGACACCCTCTGGGGCCAGGGACCCATGAGGTCTGGTCTGCCGTGACCTCAGTGGGGTTGAGAGCGTCACGGGGTGGTCCATGTCCAGGGCTGGCCTTTGGTTTGTCGGGTGGGAACTGGGGAGGCCACACCCTATGTGGGCCGGCTGGCGACTGGCGGATCAGCCTGGGCAACAACAGCTAATCTCAGTGAAGATGGGGGCCCCCAGGGTGGGCAGGGCCAGGTCCAGCGGGGCCACACCCGGAATCCGACAGCCCACTCCCCCTCTCCCTCTCAGTTTGCATTCTCCTTGTTCCTTGGGTACCAGCTTCCTCTGCATCTGGATCTAGTCAGGGCTGAAGTCATTCTAGGCGACTGGGGAGGGCAGCTGGGTGCCCGGCAGCCAGGGCAGCCCCCCCCTGCAGGACTGCTGCCGAGCCCCAGGTGAGAACAGGGCAGGCGGGGACCTGGGAACCAGAGAAGCTGGCACCGAGAGTGAGGCCCGAGTCCATACCAGGCAGACACCGCCAGGCCCCTGGCCCTCACGGGAGTCCCCACAGTGCTGGGAGAGGGAGGGCTGGCACAGTTCTTCTGGCCCTGGGGTAGAAATGCTGCCCGCCCGTCAGCCAGGGCAGCAGGACCCGCTCTGCCAAGGTCGCCTTGCCTGCCCCAGGCACAGGGCACAGTGCACAGGGCAGGGTGTGGGGCAGCCCTCTCAGCACAGGCCTCTGAGAGCCGTGCTCTGGGAGGACAGTGGGTGTGGCTGGTGACAGGAGACCCCAGACACCTCCGTGTGCCTGGTCTGCAGGGCGCCAGTCCGGGCCACAGGCCTTGCCCATGGGGAGCTTGGGGCAGGGACGTGCCCCCCGGGGGAAACAAGTGGGTACCCCACAGAGCCTCACGGGGGTCACCCTCGCTGGGGGCATCCTCATGGGGAGATGAGGGGGACACCCTCACCGGCAGATGGACACCCTCACGGGCAGATGGGGGACACCCTCACGGGGAGATGGGGGGACACCCTCACGGGGAGATGGGGGGACCCTCACGGGGAGATGGGGGGACCCTCGCGGGGAGATGGGGGGACCCTCGCGGGGAGATGGGGGGCACCCTCACGGGGAGTTGGGGGAACCCTCACGGGGAGATGGGGGGACACACTCACGGGGGG